CACGTAAGCAGTGAGAGCCCCGGGCTCACCTGCCAGGTGGGGCTGGACACGCAGGGTGCACGTGGATGGGTGAGCGTACCCCCTGCAAGTCTGGGGCCGTGACCCAGGATACCTCTTCAGCCATGCGTCACTAGGTGCAGGCCCACCCTAGGGTGAGGGTGCAAGAGAACGGGTGGCACTGGTCTGCGGGTCTCCAGGGCCGGGCCTCCCACCTCACCTCAGTGCCGAAGGTGGCTCAGCCCACACCTTGTGCAGCACAGGTCACACTTAGGGCCCCTGGGGGTTACGGCCCTCCCCTCCCACCATGTGAAAGAACCTTCCAGACTTGGCTCCATGTGCTCTGTTGGGGCTTCGTCTCCTCGGGCCAGGGGACTCGTGGCAGTTGGGAAACTGCCTGCCAGTAAGGGGGAGACAGAACCCCATTAGGCTAAGTGCCGAGGAACAGCGCTGCTGCAGGAAGCCGCTGGTGCTGGCGGCACAGAAGCAAAATCCAGGCGGCAGCTGCACCTCTGGGGCGGCCCACATTCTTGGGGAGCAGTCCTGCCCCCGGGAGGCCCCAGGAGGGTGACCGCTCTGGGGTCTTGCGACCCCGGCAGATGCCCTTACGCCTTTTTTCAGAACCAGCTCTCAGGGTATCTGCTGAGAAAGTTCAAAAACAGTAATGGATGGCAGAAGCTCTGGGTGGTCTTCACCAATTTCTGTTTGTTCTTCTACAAGACTCATCAGGTAGGGAGCGCCCCTGGGGTGGGCCGTCTCACCCTGCTGCTGGGTGAGGGGAGGGTAGCTGGCTGGCAGGGCCGCACCCACAGACGTGCCTGTGCCGCCTTCCAGGACGACCACCCCCTGGCCAGCCTCCCGCTGCTGGGCTACCGCGTGAGTGTGCCCCAGGAGGCCGATGGCATCCTCAAGGAGCACGTCTTCAAGCTGCAGTTCAAGTCGCACGTCTACTTCTTCCGGGCCGAGAGCAAATACACCTTCGGGAGGTAACTGCGTGGGCAGCCTGGTCCTGCCCCCACTGACGGGCTGGAGCCAGGGTTTCTGGTCCTGGACAGGGAGAGCCGAGCACTGCCTCTGGGGCCCCCACTGGCCCTTGGTTTGTCCCATGTACTCCATGTTCTGGGTCATTCTTGGGAAGATACTTGAGCCCACCAGTCTGATGGCCAGAGCGTGCCCTGCTTCCCAGGTGAGCATCCTGGAGTCTGACAGGCCAACCTGTTCTCCAGGTGGATGGAGGTGATTGAGAGCGCCAGCAGCTCACCTGGGAGGGCCGGGCCCCCCGAGGAGGAGGCATGAAGCCCACGCTGCCCGGTGAGGAAGGAAACGAGGAAGTAGAACACGGTCAGCACACGCCCCGTGGCTGCCTGCCCTGAGTCTTCCCGACAACGGACCAGCAGTGTGGCCGGCATCACAGCGACACCTGGGTCCCCCTCGAGACCCAATGCACCCCTTGGGCCTCTAGGGCCCTGGACAGAACACGCACACGAGTGGAAACACCGGCCCGGCTCCGGTGTGACCAAAGTGGACCGCCTGCCCTCTTCCTCCTCAGAGCAGGCCCTGCCGAGGGTTGGTTTTGGACGGGAACCGGGGTGGCCCAGCTGCCTTGTCCTTCAGTCTAGGTCGACCATGGGTGGGGCACAGGCCTCAGGTCACAGCTACACACACGTCCAGCAGAAGCCACCCTGGTGCCTGCCCCACATACCTCCAGACAAGTGGAAACCAAAGTCCTCGTGTGGCCCTCAGAGGGCCAGGCCCCTAATTCATTGGTGCCCCGCGGTTTCATAGACAGGGAGGTGCGTACACACGCTTTGCTTGTGCTAACGTGCGTGTGGCCAAAAGTAAAGGGCATGTCACCACACCTGTGCCACCCTCTGTTCAGTCTGCGCCCCCCAACCCCCCCGGAGGTCCCCGCCCACCACCAGTGCAGCTCAATTCAGGTGTTTATTGAAAGGGGCAGGAGCCTCTCCACGTCCCGTGAGACCAACACCTTAACTTCGGAAGATACAGGAAAGCAGAGTTCAGTTTTCTTAAAATACAAAATGTTCTGGCTGACGCGTGCGCTTACGAGAAGACACGGCACCTGGTCTCACACCACAAGGCAAATCCACGGCCACTATGGCCCTGGGCAAGGGAAGGGCTGGGCTGACAGGCTCCACACCCCCATCCAAGCAGCTGCACCCAGTGAGCCTGGGGGAGGGGACGGCCCTGCCAAGGAGGCCTGAGGGGACCGAGCCCGCTGCCCCCACAGGGTCACTTGGTTCTCCAGGGGGTCTCTGCTGCCAGCTGTAACCTCAGCCCAGCCAGGAAGGGACGGGGGACAGCCCTCCGCACAGGGTAGGGGCTGAGACCCAGCGGTGAGGCCGTGACACGGTGCAAAGGGCTCCAAGTCAGCGAGGACCCTACAGAGCTCAAAACGAAGGCCACCCTGCCCGCTCCCCGTCCACGGCGGCTTCAGCGGCTGGACGTCAGGTGGTTTCTGTTGTGTGAAAACCTAGGAGAGAGGAGCCTGTCACTGCTCCCGCCCCACGTGCAGGTCCCGCAAGAACCCACCAGGCGGCAGCACCGAGCAGCCTGGGGAGGAGGAATCAGGGACCCTGGGTGAGGCCACGGGCAGGAGCCCGAGAAAGGCAGGGGAGCCCGCCCACCCCTCCCCAGCCCGAAGCCAAGAGCGGAGACACCGCCTGCAGAGTCCTCACCGCTGCACCCGCTCCACCAAGTGGGCCATCAGCTGGTCCGAGATGCCGGGGCAGGACTCCTCGGCCAGGCTGAAGGCGTTCTCCAGCTCCTCCAGCGCCCCCACGCCCCCACCGCTCTGCCGGTGCTTCTCTCTGAGCTGCGGACACAGCACCACCCTGGCTGCAGGCCTTCGCCCCCACCGGAGCCCCTCGTGGCCCTTCCTCCGCCAGGCGAGGACAGTGGGGGCACCTGAAGGCTCTGCTTAGGGATCCAGCCAGCCCGAAGGCAGGGACGCCACTCACGGAGGCTCAGATCAGGGTTCTCAAGAGGGGTCCCTGGCAGCCCCCCATGGCTGACTGTGTAGTGAGCTCAGAGCTCAGTGGCCACATGGAGCCCTACCCAGGCTGGCAAGACCTTGTCATGGGAATCATGGCTGATTCCCAATTGTGGGTCACAGCAGCTCTTGGCTCAGGGCTAACAGACTTGAGAACACAGCCCAGGAACGCCCAGAATGCACCACATGGCCAGCGGCCAGCTATGACCTCTGGGGCTAGAGGGCACCAGCAGCCGCCCGTCAGCCTCCGCTGTCCTGAGCAGCAGGAACGGGCTGGGAATCCAGGGCAGGCAACCTGGTAGGGATGGGCTAGACAGGTTGGCATAGAGCGCCCTGCCCCACTCCACACCTGACAGAAAAAAGACACGCTGCCCAGCAGCCCTGAGCTCAGGCCCAGCCCACAGAATCAGGACCCCCTCAGGGTCCTGCCGGCCTGGGTGGGGCTCCATGTGGCCACTGAGCTCTGAGCTCACTACACAAACACCGCGGCAGGGAGCCCAGCCCACAGCCCCCGTCCCCCATGCCACAGGCTATAAGCCCGGGGAGATGCCAGGCAGGCCCTCCTCTCCCAGGCCGCATGCCACACGGGGCCAGTGCGGGGACTGGCCTCGGCTCCAGCTGTCTGAGCTCCATGAGCTCGCGCTGCCCAGCCCAGGTGTCCCCACGTTCCTCAGGAGGGCTCTGCTGCCTCCAGGCTCACAGCCCATCTACCCTCCCTGGACTCCAGGTGCTGCTGTCACCTGGGGCAGAAACCAGTCATGTGACCCACTGCCACATGTCCCAGGTGTAGGGGCTCCTGGCTATGTCATACTCCTGTGGTGCTACCGACTACCCATCAGCAGGTGACACAAAGGTCACATAACCATGGAGGACTCAGCTGCCCCTGCGCCCCTCCCTGCCTGGGCCTGACACCCAACACCTAGACATCCCAGCTCTTCTGGTCATCACATGTTTGCAGTTCAAAGCCACCCTGGGACCCCAGGGACCAGGGAACTTGAGAGGACCATGTCAGAGCAGTTTGTCCCAACCATTCGTAATCCTGCTCAGAACGCCCGGCCCACGAGTCTAACGGCACTGGGCTCCAAGGGCCGGGGGAACCCGGATGGGGCTGGCCAGCCCCCCCACCCACAGGACCCCTGGCCCAGCCCTCACCTCTCCGAAGACAGGCCGGACCAGCGTGGACAGGCACTGGGACCTCGGCTGCCTCTTGGCAGGCTCAGCAGACTGCAAAAGCAGGCCCCCGGCGGGGTGAGCTGAGAAGCAGGTGGCCCTGCCCCCGCCCCATTTCCCGCCTCCTGGAGGAGCACAGCCTGTCAGGGTAGTTCAGCACAAGGCCCAGGGCCTGCACCACCCCCACAGCCCTTGCCCGCTGGCTCTAGCAGCCCCCCGCTCAGCTCAGCATGCGGGGGCCAGACCTTCTGGGGGCCGTGCAGCGCTGACCCCTTGTGCAGCTTGCTGTGCGGGCTTGGCCGGATGGTGGGGGGGAACGTCCAGATGGGGCCCTGCTCCCCATCCTCAGCATCCCCATCACTGCGGGGAAAAACGAGAGTCACGAGGGCTGGGGGCTGAGGCCCAGGTGGACCCGAGCAAACGCCTGGGCCTCCCCGCTACAGGCTGGTGGGGCCCTGCACAGGACGCAGGGGCCAGGCGATCACACAGGTCCCCGGCCACTAGCACCTGCCTCTAGGCGAGTGGGGACGCTGCCTGCGCCACGGTGCCCAGGGCCAGGACCCCCCAGGGACAAGCCCTACATGTCAGAGTCCTCTGAGCTGGACTCCTCGCCGTGGCCCTCAGACTTCCAGCGCTTGTAGCGGTCGATGAGCTCGGTGAGGAAGGACGTCTTCTTGGTGTAGCGCGTGATGAACTTGTGCTTCAGGAGCTCTCTGGCCGTGGGCCGCTGTCGGGGGATGGACGCAGGTCAGGACCCAGGTCACCAGGCCCGGGGACAGCGAGACTCCGCCCTGAGGCTGCAGCAGGCTTGGGCAGCCCGCTCTCTGGGAGGGCTCAGTGAGGGGCCCTGGGGAGGCACCTCGAAAGCCAGGGTGGGGCTGGCACGGGGAGTGGCCTCTGCAGACCCCCCAGAGGGCAGGCCTGGGCCCGGCCACGTGGTCCCAACACACCCCACGAACTGGGGCCTGGAGCCTTACGAATCGGGGGTCCTTGTTGAGGCAGGCCTCCACAAACTCCTTGAAGGGCTTGCTGTGGTGGCCCTCTAGCACGGGCGGGCTGTTCTTGGGGATCAGGAACAGGACGCGCATGGGGTGGAGGTCAGAGTTCGGAGGCTCACCTTTGGCCAGTTCAATGGCCGTGATCCCCAGTGACCAGATGTCAGCCTAGACAGAGAGCCACACAGGACACGTGGCACCAGGGTGGCCCCGAGCCCTGCCAGCGCCGCTGCCATCACGGCCGCCAGGCCCACCTTGAAGTCGTAGGCTGACTGCTTGATGACCTCGGGCGCCATCCAAAACGGGGTGCCCACGAACGTGTTCCTCTTGATATGCGTGTCCGTGAGCTGCCCTGCCACCCCGAAGTCCGCCAGCTTCACGTCGCCTTGCTCCGAGAGCAGCACATTGGCAGCTGCTTGATACAGGACAGCGAGGCATCATGCTCTGAGCCAGGGAGACCCCACCGCGAGCAGCTGCCTGAAGCAGCACCTGCTGGTGGAGCCTCACTCAGCTTTGCCTCCCCCCACGGCCCAGAGACAGGCCCAGGCCAGGGCACTGCCGGGGGCGCCCGCAAGCGTGAGGGGCCCTCCCCGGGCCTGCCTTCCACGCCAGCATGCAGGTGGCCCTGACCCCTCCCCAGGGACTCGGCAGGGCCAACCCACAGTGCGGTGGCTCTCCCAGCAGGAGACGGCTGGCATTCCCGGTGCATGAGGGCGTGGCGCCAGCGTCTCTGCCATCAGTGTCCGGTGGCCGCAGGGGATAAAGGCCAGGAGCGCGGAGCTGCGAGGCCCCCAGCCCCACCAGCCGCGTGCCCCGCACAGCCGCCTGCCACCTCACACCCTGGCCTGTCCAGGGTTGGCGGGCTCGAGGGCCAGGAGAGGAGGCGAGCCCGGGGACCTTTGATGTCTCGGTGGATCTTTCGCTCTGAGTGCAGGTAGTCCAGGCCCTTGAGAATCTCCCGCAGGATGGTGGCGATGTAGGTCTCCTCCAGGGGGCCCGGCTTCAGCTGCACACAGACGGGGTGGGGCCTCAGACACCTCCCCGCCACACCTCCTTCGCCCACAGCCAGGCCTGAGCTCGACTGCACTCCCATGAGGGTGACCCTGCAGATGGTGGGTCTTCACCTCCCCCTACTTCTGAAACAAAGTTTTAGATGCAGGCCAGGTGGGTGTGAGGGAGGCTCTTCCTAGAGAACAAAGGCCACCACCACCTTTGCTGGGAAGGTAGGAGATGAGGAGGACAAGGTGCTGTCACACTCCTGAGCCCATGTGTCCAGAGGCACTAACCCCGCCTGCCCCCCACAAGCCAGCAGAGGCCCCGGACCCCTCGGCATCAACCGAGGGGGCTGCAAACAGCTCCTGACTAAGGCTGAGGCACCAAGACAGTGAAGGAGAGGGCCCCAGGAGCCCAGGGGCCCGGGGACACTGTCAGGACCCCGCAGCAACCTGTCCTGTAGCCCTGCCCGGCAAGCTGTCCACGGCTGCGGCCTACACCTCACCAGGTCCAGCGCGGAGCCGCCGCCCAGGTACTCCATGATGATCCACAGCTTCGTGCTCTGGGACCGGAGAAAGGCCTGTCAGCATGTGGCAGCCAGCACGGGGCACCCCAGGCCACAGGACACACTCCCCAGCAGGGTTCCAAAGCCTCGGGGCCCTCCAAGGGACGGCTTCACCAGCAGCCCCGCCCGCTCCCCTCCCAACCCCGCTGCTGCAGCAGCTCTGCAGACGGCCCACGGCCCAGACCAGTGGCCGACTGTACTCTGCTAACACACGCCCCCAAAACCAGGCTGGGAAAACAGCCTACCCAGGCAGCACGCGCCTTGACACACATGCACACCAGGTGCCCCTGGGCAGGCCCCCGCGGGCTGGCACTGGGCTCTGGGCTCCAGCTCAGGGGTCCCAGAGAGCTCCTAGCAGGGCCTCACGGATGCATGGGGCTTACCCCAGTCCCCCCGAGACATGGCACAGCCAGGCGGTGGGGTCATGCGGCTGGTTCAGAACCCCTGACTCTACAGACCTGTTCTCACTCCGCCGCCCCCAGGCATCCCCGGAGGATGAGCCCAGGAACCTCCAGCGCCAGCCTGGCCCTCGGGCTCTTGTTTTCTGGGAGCCGCTCCCGTCAGGGACCCTCGCCTCAGACCAGGCCTGGCCTCCCAGCGGCCCCACGGAACCCTGGGCCCCCACTCACGCCCGAGCACAACCCACCCCGCTCCCTGCAGGCACCTTGAGGTAGGAGCCGAAGTAGCGGGTGATGTAGGGGCTGTCGCACTGGCTGAGCACAGTGATCTCCTGCTGGATGTCCTCGATCTCGTCCTCGGCCTCCTCCAGGTCGATGATCTTGATGGCCACCACCTCCTTGGTGCGGTTGTCGATGCCCTTGAACACCTCCCCGAAGGAGCCCTTGCCGATGCGGTCCAGTTTGGTGAAGAGCTCCTCGGGGTCCACGCGTGAGTGCTGCGGGCGAGGGGCGGGCGGCCGTCAGAGCGCGCGGCCCCGGGCGCAGGGAGCTCGGCCGGGTTCTTCTCGGTTCTTCTGTCGTGGTTTCAGTTCAGAGTGTGGACGTTTGCCCCCGCCCCAGGGCAAAGACCCTCGAGAGCACAGGGGTCTGGCTCCAGCCCAGCCGTGGGGCCGTGGGTCAGGCCAAGGGGCCAAGGGCAAGAGTTCACACCTGCAGCCCACTCCCACGGTGGGGGGGACCAAGCAAGACGCAGTGGCGGGTTAAAAGGGACGTGCAGGTGTAGCACGGTGACCTCAGGCAGTGAGACTGTCCTGTATGCTGCTGGGGTGCGGGGTACCAGGAGTGAACTTTCTGGAAACTGTGGGCTTGGTTAATGACAGTGTATCAATACGGACTCAACCATTTTAACAAACTTAGCATCCTAAAGCCAACCTAGCAGGTTAAGGAGGAGGAGCGAGGGATGTATCATTTCCCTGTAAACTCAACTGCTCAAAAACTAAAGTCTATTAATTTAAAACACACACACACACACCTGAGCTCTCCCTGCACACCTGGCAGCTACACTCGAAAGGGCTTCCCTCGTCACCCCAATCCAGTCTTGGGGACACCCGCACTGAGCTGCACAGTGATGCTTCCTGGACGCCTCATCCTGGACACTCAAATATCACAGAAAAGCGCCCTGTGTGTCCCTCAGACTTGAACACAGACGAGGCCTGACAGACACAAGGCTGCGGTACAGATGGCCTGGGACGGAGTCGGGAGAGGGGCGTCCACAAGCTGAGAACCACGGCCTTGACCCTGAACCTCAGTACGTCACAGTCAGACGGCTCAGCGTGGGGGCTGCATGAAGGACAGCAATGCAGAGAGCCAGTTGGGGCCACCAGGGCATCCCCCAGCCCCGCCCACATGGCTTCTGGGCTCCTGAGGACACGGCGTGCCCTCTGCCCACCCTGGACGTGCTCTCAGGAAGCCAGGGGCAGTCTCACAGGCCCACTGACCACGAAGGACCCACATGGGGTTCAGCGGCGTTGGGGTGGGAGCCTAGCATCTCATCCAAACAGAGGCAGAAAGGGTCCCCAAATCACCTGGCCTCCACCCCACAGAGCACCTCCCTCTGAAAGGGGCTGCCCACATCCCCGAGCGCCTGCAGAGGGCCAGTGTGAAATGGCGAAATCACACCTGCTGTGCCAGGTGCTGAGGGGCCGGCCAGGGTCCCGAGAGTCATCCAGAGCAGGCTCAGAGCCCACGGGGCCCAGGCTCACGCCAGGCCCGACTGGCTACACACATTACACGTCACCCAGAAATTGCCCAGTGAGCTGCCGTCCCGGGGTTCGTGACCAGGAGGAAGGAGGGGATGCCCACAGGCCCGCACCTGTGGACACAGCTGGCCAGGTAAGCCAGGAGAGTGAAAGCCACACGGAGACGGGCGCTCTGGGGGCGCAGCTTGCTGGGGCACACGCTGGCAGGTTGGGGCCAGAAGTGAGGCCTCCACACAGATACGGAATCCTCCCATGGAGCAGGCCGGGCAAGGCCGAGGACGGGCCGGCCAGCCTCCTGGCAGCGGCTGAGACAGGTGCCCCAAGCGGGCTGGTGAGGTGTCCACTCGCACCCTGGCTCGGCCCATTAAGGAACGCAGCCCTTCTCATTCCCTTCCCGGAACAGGCAGCCCAGGGCATGTGCAAGAAGTGACAACCAGCTACCAGGAAGTCCCCGAAGCCCAGATGGAGGCTCAGGTAGCACGAGGACAGCACAGGCTCCAGATCACGGCCGCTCGGCTGCCGTCAGGGTGCAGGTGGGCGGGATGGATCCGCGAGCAGAGCCAACCCCAAGAGCACACGGCCCACACCGCGGGCCACGCAGCCACCAGCACAGAACCCCTTCCTGACGGAGGGAAAGCCCGCTCCGCCTCTGGGCGGGCACGTCGCGGCTCCCTGCTCAGCCCTGGCCGCGGTGGCCCGCAGCCCGGGAAGCAGCCCCCCTTCTGGCTGCTCCTCCGCCAGCAGGGTCACCGTGCTTGCTCGGGCCCCAGGCGGTGGTCCACTGGACTGCTGGGCCACAGCCTGCCTCCAGCTCATGCCGGGCAGCCCTGCAAGACACCCGGAGAGAGCCGTCCAGGTACTCCCGTCCAGCTGGTGCCTGACCTTGTGTCCCTCTCTGAAGATGGCCCAAGGGAAACCCTGGAGGAAGTGAGCCGAGACCTGGCAGCGCTGGTCGGCATCAATGCCCTAGATGTTGGGGTCCCCTGACTACCCTAAGGCCTCTGCCGATGACATGTCCGCCCGTTCGGCTCTGCTGACAACACCTTAGCACTCCACGCACACGGCAAGAGCCAGGCTGGGTCTGCCACAGTCACAGACAAGGGAGGCCCAGGCCGCGTGCTCAGACCCCCACCGCCTCAAGCAGAATCCAGGCCTCAACACCCCCCCATTCTTACACCTTTTGGGTCTCCACTGCTGTCGGTGAGTCAACTGAGCAGACAAGGCATGATGGGGACACCCCTGGCCATGCTGAACCTACAAGTCCATCACAGGGATGGTTTGGGGTCCAGGCCGCCCTCCTAGACAGTGCATGTGGCCTGGACAATCGCTCAGGTCGCTCTGCTGGCTCTGGTAGTCAAGACCCTCGTTCTCCAGATCAGCCCTGGCACTGCCAGAGCCGGGGCCACCGCCTGGCAGTGTGTCTGCATTAGCGGCAACTGTGAACTAAGAGCCGCCCGTCCCTGACCATCACGTGAGCATACGGCGCTACCATGCAGCAATTCGGGGGACGCAGGGGCAGGAGCGCAGGCTACGGGGGAGCCCGGCTGCTGCCCCACACGGGGACTACCCCACAGGGCCCGGGACAACCTTCTCAAGAGAAAATGCCATCCTGTTGAACTTCCGGCCATCAACAAAGGCCAAGCTCTCCGCCCCTGAAGGACAAAGGTGGCTTCCTTCCTTTGGGGTCCCCTCCCAGCCCCTCGGCGCCTGCGCTCCCTCCCGGGTGTGACTGGACACCCTGGTGCATCCCGTGGGCCAGTGGCAGGGCAGGTACGCGGGAGCGCTCCCCACGGCTCCTAGAAACGAGCTGGAGGCAGACCCCTCCCAGCATCCTGGTCACGCACTCTACAGGACACAAAACGTCAAAACGAATGAAACATCTTACTTCAGCGTCAGTCAACCAGCCCCGGTGCCCGTGACGGCCACAGCTGGCCCAGGACGCCGGCCCTGGTGGCAGTGGCTTCCGGGGTTCTCCGCCAGGCAGGCTGGGGCTAACCTCTGCTCCAGCCCTTTTCCCTGCATGCGCACAGCGCTCCCGCCGTCTGCCGTGCCTACGGCCGCCTCTGCTTGGGGGCCAGGGAGCCAGAGAACAATCGTCCCAACACCTTGCAGCAGTCACCCTAAAACACCCCAAACCAACACAGCAAGGAGACCACCATCAAACAGCGAGGACGCGAGAAAACCTAGCCACCGGGTGACTTATTCCACTTGACGTCGGAGTCAGATCACACTTGCTTTGACACAAAAACGGGGGAGGTGCGGACCACAAGCCCCCACTTGGTGCCCCCACTCGGATGCATGCACTCTCCTTTCCGGGGGCCTGCAGCAGGTCCTCATCCCAGGCAAACTCAGGGCACACTACAGAGGATCCCCTAGCATCAGCCGGTTGACATGCAAAGCCAGACACCCCGAGATGGCTCGGTGCCAGATATTACAAGAACCACTCAACCAAAGAGAAAGACGGGGGGCACCACCCAGGCGGGCACTTGGCCTGAGCGAGACGGGCGCTGCAGGGCGGCCTCTCCATCTCCGCTCCGGGGACACACACACGTCTGCAGCTGGCCCTGCACGCCAGCTCCTGAACGCGACGAGCCACTTTATTCACATCCCCAGCCCCTCTCCATCGCCCATAAGGGAGGGGTCTCCCGGAGCCCCTGCCCTAGTCAACAGGCTGAACAACCGCCGCCAGGCCAAGGCTCCGGACCTTCGCTGGCCCAGCAGATGTGCAGCCCACGGGGTCGCGCAGCCCACGGGGTCGCGCGTCCCGGGCCACCTGTCCCGCTGGTCCTGATGCCCGTGGGCTGCTGCACGAAACCCACACCACCCGCGCGGAGTCAGCCCTGGGCCCCAGCAAGCCCGAGCACCTCAGGACTGCTCCCCACTGTGGCCCCCAGAACTGCATCAGGAGGCTCCCCAGGAACACTGCTCCCTTCACCCCATACACCCCTCGGGGAGGCTCTTCTGAAACCCCATAACGACCTGCGCGACACCCTTCAGTGAAAAATGTCCCTTCGTGGCCTGCTCCCTTCCTTGGAGTCCGCAGTCACTGCTCTTGTGGGGGAAGAGGAGGGCTCGAGCACGCGCGCACGCTCACAAACCAGAAACAGAGCCTCACCTGGTTGGCGAAGCCCCTGAGGTGAGCCATGTCTGCGCTGGCCTCAGAGCAGCCGCTGCAACTCCAGGGGGCCCGAGATTCCGCCTCGACGCTCTGGAGCCCGGCTCGCTCGCTTCAGTCAACTGGAGGGAGAGCAAGCCGCTCGGTGCCCGCTCGGGGCACGGGGCGA